GACTTCTGCACACTGTGCGCTTCAGCATGCGCTGACCCCGCTCTATCATGTGACGTGACCTACCACTTGGTGGCTGAGTTGCTGTTGTTCCCAGTTGCTTCCACTTTGTTATAATCCCACTAACAGTTGAGCGTGGAATATTTAGTAGCCAGGAAATGTCACGGATGGACTTATTGCACAGGTGGCCACCTATCACGGGACCACGCTTGGAGTCACTGAGCTCCTGAGAGCGACCCATTCTTTCACCAATGTTTATAGAAGCAGTCTGCATGCCTAGGGGCTGATTGTATACAGCAGTGGCCATGGAGGTGATTGGAACACCTGAATCACATGATTTCGAGGGTGGGCCCAATACGTTTGGCAATATAATGTATGTAAATGCCTCATGTATTGCTGTTTTCCTAAATTATTTTTGTGACTCTGTTGCAGAGTTTCTTACCTGGGGATCCTGCCAGTAACAGCACTGCCTGGTGCATACCAACGATACTAAGTCACTGTCTTGCTTGTGTGCTGCTTCAGTTGGCCGCTGGGCTGCTTTTTAGGTCTATAAGGCCAGGCCAGATGGACAACTGAAGGAGCTCGCATGGCAGGCTGACAAAGCAGATACTAAATGCATGACAGCGGCTTAGTGTTGTCAGCCTGCAACAGGCAGTGCTGTTACTGGCAGGATCTAAAGGTAACACATTTAATGACAGATTCACAAGGAAAATGTTGTTTAAATATATTGTATACAGTTAAAAATTATAACATAATAAAAAAAAAAAATTTAGGATCAACATACACTTTAAGCTTCAGTTCACACTATAGCTTGTATGTGAAACCTGCAGAAGTTGTACCGCATTCCTATGCAATTCTGCGTGGTGCAGTTTGAGCCCTTTCATTTGGAACAGGCTCACATGCACCCCATAACACACAAATGTTCAGACACCTTTTTCTGAGCTGCACTGGAACCGAATCACACAGTCATTTTGTACCATGCGATTCAGTGCAGGCAAACACACTGCGTTTGCAACCTCTGTTTGGGGTGTCGTTAACTTTGAATTGACACCTGCAGCAGATCTTGAAAACACAATGTGATTGCAATGTGGTGCAGGAAACGCACAGGGGTCGCAGCGTTTCCCACACTGCATATGTGTGAACCGGGTGACAGTGATCAGCAGCTGGGCGCTAAGATATTCAGCCTTCAGCCACATGGTTGTCATTAACTTGTTGAAGTCCAGTGGAAAGTGTACATTTATATACAGTGCAGTGCATGCAGCATGCCACTGTGCCCATGTGCTCTTCCAGCACACATATATCCAAGGTTCAAGTGCTTGCACATGTACCTACCCAAAGGACCAGTAGTTTGACACAGGTAGATCCACTTGGTGCAAATACAGGACTGAATGGCTCCCGAATTCCACTTTTGTTCCTTCATCCATGGTCTAATGGTTGTCAGTCCAGATCAGGTGTCCCCAACCTCTGTCCTCAAGTACCACCAGGTCATGTTTTCAGGATTTCCTTCACCTCACACAAATGCTTTAAATCAATGGCAATGGCATGGTATGTCCGAGAGCTATTTCTATCTCAAGGAAATTCCCAAGACATGACCTTCTGGGGGTACTTGAGGAGTGGGATTGGGAACCACAGGTGGGCTTAATCTCAGAATGGTGTGGAGTTCCCAGCTCCGCCCACTTGTTGTAGTATTCCTCAAGGTGGTCTAATTTCCCTTTTGGGTTTTTCCTTACCTTTACATTACAGAGAAAACAGCAAAAACATACTTCGACTACAGAAGGAACAGCGAACCTCCAGTAGATATAGGAAGCCAGTGTGTTAGCACATTAACTAGCATCCGCCTATATGTGGAAATCAGTTTGGCATGGACTGACCTTTTAAACTTTTAAGCTGGCCATATAGTATACAGTATAATTGTACAATCTCCTTTAGATCTTCCATTGACTACGTAGTGCAAGGACCTGTCTGGTTGGATAAAAATTGAATTTATTGTACAGTTATATTGAATAGTTTTGGTAAATCTATAGAAGATTGTGCAATCTGATTGTATAGTGCATGGCTAGTTTAACTCACAGTCATTTAAATGCCCCAAGAATTATGTAGGCCATACATGGTTCGAATTCCAAACGATTTTTAGTCTGAAAATCGAAAATGCTCGGTAAACCGATGGTGCCATCAATGATTTTGAAAATCGGCTGACCAAGTCATAAAGTTCACTCCATATAACAAGTGAAACTTCTGTTCCTTCCAGGCCACAGCTCATGCACATATTCTACTCGGAAAAATGGTTTGACCATTATTGAATCAAAAATCGGTCGTTTTTCATGAATTTTCCAACATGCCCGATCACCGAAAAGGGGAGGAACCACGAAAATCGGTCGGTGCCATTGACCCACTAACAGAGCGAAAATCGGCCGATTATTCTTAGGTCCGATTTTCGGATGAAAAATTGGTCGAATTTCAACCCATGTATGTCCGGACTTACCCCTACAATGAGAGAAACATGTAATATTATTAATAAAAAATATTTTTTCTTAATAAATGATTGCCTTGTGTTAATTTATAAAGTATATCCTTTCATTATTATTATTATTTTTTTTTTTGCAGCATCTGTTAATTTAAAAGAAAACAGAGACACACAAAAATCTGTACAGTGTATATTCTTTATTTATATTGAAAATAAAAACCAAAACATATGCTATTGTGTTTCAAAATTATAATTAATAACAAATAAAATGAATAGAAACATTTCTTTTTTTTAAAATAACATTTTTTTTCAAAAACAGACATAAATCTTTTAAAATAATAATAACTCTTAAAAACATCTTGGGATTTCAGAAAAGGGAATATTAAATTGTTAGAAAAAAAAAATCTTTTGCCATAAATTTGCTCCGAGGGTTAAAATAAAATTGATGGAAGAATGGGTTAATTAAGCGGTGCTATGCATACAATAATTAAGGCACGGTTATGAAAGTCATGAGTTGGTGGGGTGTTAGTGGTTGGTTAGGGTGCAGGGGGGGCTTTGTACACAATTCGAGGGGGGGGGGGGGAGGGTGCGTCAATACTATACTCAAGAGTGCCATCCTTTACAGACCTGCAACACACAAGAGCGATCGCTGACGATAATATTAATAAAAATTAAAAAAATGGCAAGAAAATGATCAAAAAGAAATGTTCGAAGCTTAAAAAACTGCAATTTTTCTGATTCACATTCAACCGGGTCCACTTAATCTGCCAAAGTTTAAAGCCAATACATACAAGAGATAAAAAAAACGCACAATGCAATCAGCAAATAGCAGCTTGTTAAAGGTAGTCAAGATTTTGTTTTTATAAAAAAAAATGCCTTAATGTTTTTTTTTCTTCTGTAATACAGTATGATAATGTGATGGCCGGTGTCATACAAAAGACACCATTCCCTTTACTCCCACAATGCAGCTTGTCATTGAAATCAAGTCATTAAATAAGTTTTGTGCGTTCGACAAAAAACAAAAACAAAACGTCTCTTGGCACACTGATCGTGTCTCTGAAAGTGAAGGCAAGAACTTATCCTGGATAAAATTTGTCTATGAATTGCAGAAATATATATAAATATTTGTAGAAGTCCATATCTGCTTCATATCATAAACTCCTGATAGATAATCTGCTGGTGACTTAATGAGCTGCACTGGATTGTAGGTTTTACAGTAACAGATACACCAAATGATGATGATAAGGCACTTTGAAAAAAGGTAAAAAGGTGCATACATTGTGATTGAACCCTGTTCATAGCCAAACCCATCATATCACAAGCCACTTCAACAATCTGAAGCTACCAGTTGGGCTGGCACCAAAGCGACCAGTGTTAGCAGAACATACTGGTGGTTTGTGGTGCCAACGCAATTAGAGGCTAAAAGTTGCCCGAAGCTGCCCTGTGACCCCATGGGCTTGTGCTATGGAACCCTATCATCTCTTTATTTACTCCATCAAATGCCATTGAGAGTTGCAGCAAACTGTTCTTCAATGTTTACCAGACTTCACTGCCCCTGCTCAAATGGTAGCCAAACACATGAAACGACAAGCCAATTCAACAACCTGAAGCCACCAGCTGGGCTGGCACCAAAACTTCCAGTATTTCCTGCATGGACGGGGCATGCTGGAGTTTGTGATGCCAAAACAACCAGAGGCCAAAAGTTGCCCAATCTAGCCTGTGACCTACTGGGCTTGTCCTATAGGATCCTATCATCTTGTTATTTAGCCCACTAATTGCCATTGGGAGTTGCAGCAGTTCTCCAATGTTTACCAAACTTTACTGCCCCTTAAAAAAAAACCCATATATTAAAATATTTTGACCAGCTACAGGTTGCATAGAACTTATTCAAACTTTTTTTTTTCTTACAAAGAGTATAAAAAAACAAAGGACAATAAAAAAATGTACATTATTTGGTAGACTGTGGTTGCCCAATAGAGGCTCCTCACAACTGAGTTAGCACCAGGCTGTGAGAACTTAGCCATAGTGGCCATGCAAAATGGTCACCACAATCGAAAACCTAGTGGACAAAAAGCAAAATATCCATTTTTTGGCAAAACCATAGAAAGAGAGATGGGGTCAAAGGCCGGGATCCAGGTTCATGGACGTGTCCTTACCACTCTTGGTGTCTGGTTAGGATTCACAGGAGATGGAAGATTGATGGGGAGGCAGTCAAGAATTTGGGAGCTGGGTTGGACCTCATGCAACATAGTAGAGATAGAGAAAGGGTCAAAGGCTGGGATCCAAGTTCATGGACATGTCCTTTTCACTCTTGGTGCTTGGTTAGGATCCACAGGAGATGGAGGATGGACTGGGGGTTAAATCAAGAATGAGGTTGAGTTGGACCTCATGCAACAAAAGTAGAGAGAGAGAAAGGGTCAAAGACTGGGATCCAAGTTCATGGAAGTGTCCTTACCACTTTTGGTGCTTGGTTAGGATCCACAGGAGATGTAGGATGAATTGGGGGGGGACGTCAAGAATGAGGAGGTTGGGTTGGACCTCATGCACAGTTACCCATCACTTTGACCAGAGAGCTCTCTGGAAGCTGCCTGAAGATGCCCCTGAGAGTCTCCAACTCCCTGCTGAGCTGTTCCACCCTCTTCCTCAACTTGTCGTTCTCGTTGGACAACTCAACCACCTTCTGTTGGGTCTCAGCATTCCTCACCTTAGCCTTGTCCCTGCTCTTCCTGACCGCTATGTTGTTCCTCTCCCTCCTCACCCTGTACTCTGTGCTGCTTTTGTCCACCCATTTTTTGGACTTGCCTCTGGTCTCCGAGGAAGAAGAAGAGGTGGAAGATGAAGAGGACATCCCCTTGGAGGACGAAGCTTGCATCTGGTGGTGATGGTGGTGGTGGTGATGGGGAAGGTGGTGAGGACTTGGCACTGGGGTGGGTGGTGGAGTCGGGTGCCCAGGTTGTAGGTGCATAGTGGTCTGGGCACAGTGGGCTACTTGGTACTGCAGGTGGGATGGGTGCTGGTTGGCCGGGTGAGGGTAGAGGGCAGCTAGAGACACCCGGTTGGCCTCCTCCTCCTCTCTGGGCTCCTGTTTGATGACCAGGGGCCTGAGGCCATTGTCCATCTTGTTGTCCAGGTAGGTGGCCATGCAGCCATACATGGGAGGGTGTCCTGGCGCCCCTCCGAGCCCCGGTTGGTAGTCTATGGTGGCCTTGGCTCGGTCGTGCTTGCTGTTATGGAAGAGATCGGCCAGGAACTCGTCGTTGAAGGCGGCCGGGTCGATGTAGGCGCTGATGTCTATGGAGTTCTCGTTGTCGCACAGCTCGGTCACGTCCCCGGCGGCGGGGGGCTCCCTGTAGCCGTAGGCGGCGTGCTGCTGAGGCTGGGCGTTCATGGATGGCCGGGATTCGACCTCGTAGAAGTTGGCTAGCTCCATGGAGCTCCTATAGCCAGCCAAGCATGGTGACGAGCTCCGGGAATCCAGGGTGAGCTCGGGCTGATCGATCAATCGCTCCACTTCCCCACCAACAGACCGACCAGGTGACTACGCCAGCTGCTCAACACTGACTGGCGGAGCACCGCTGTCACAGTATATATAGGCAGCAGAGGGCGCAGCGCCACCTAATGCACGGTCAGGGGTACTGCAGCCGGCAGAGAAAACTGTCTTCTGGAACCTCTCCGGCCGCCTCCAGCGCTTCCTTCCCTGCAATCCCCTCGCAGCATCGCCGCCCCGTGATCGCTGCACGACGGCCCTGGGCTCCGCTCTCTGGTTGGTCTGTGCTGCTCCTGTGTGCAGTCCGCCCTTTGTACCGGCCAGGCTGCACATAGAAATACAGCAATGCGGCATTTATATTGTCGGTGCTATGGAGGCGTCCACCCAGGGTATGGATATTGGGGTATATATCCGGAGGGGGGGGCATCCTGGAAATTGTGTATAAAAATTAAAATAAATAAATAGCTATATATATGTTTTTCTAATACGTGTAAATACATGTATTAAAAACATTTTTTTGCATATTAAACAGATTGTATGTATATATGTGTGTGTGTGTATATATATATATATATATAATATTTATTTTTATTTTTTTTTTATTACATATATATATATATATATATATATATATATATATATATATATACACAAAATATTTTTTTTTTGTGTGTTCTGCATGATATTAAAACATGATATACAGTGTGTGTGTATATATATATATATATATATATATATATATATATATATATATGTATATATTTTTTTTTTATATATATATATATATATATTATATATATATATGTATTTTTAATGTTTTTTTTCTAATACATGTAAATGTATGTATTAAAAATATATATATATTTCTGCATAGTAAATAGATTGTATTTATATATGTATATTTTTTTTTTTTTTATTATTATATATATATATATATTAAAAAAAAAAAAAATATATATATATATACATATATATATACATATATACAGTATCTCCCAGAAGTGAATCCACCTCTCACATTTGTGTAAATATTTGATTCTATCTTTTCATGTGACAACACTGAAGAAATGACACTTTGCTACAATGTGACGTAGTCAGTGTACAGCTTGTATAACATGTACATTTGCTGCCCCCTCAAAATAACTCAACACACAGCCAGTGGCAGACTGACAACTCATGGGGCCCCCGGGCACTAGGGGTAATGCAGCCCCTGTGTCCTAGCCCACACTCAAACCATACACAAAAAAGCTTATGAAAGGTACTAGGGGCATCTCCTGGGGCCCCCTACTGGCCCTGGACCCTCGGGCAGTGCCCGAGTTCCCCAATGATCAGTCCGCCTCTGCACACAGCCATTAATGTCTAAACCGCTGGCAACAAAAGTGAGTCCACCCCTAAGTGAAAAGGTCCAAATTGGGCCCAAAGTGTCAATATTTTGTGTGGCCGCCATTATTTTCCAGCACTGCCTTAAGCTTCTTGGGCATGGAGCCAGTAGGTTGAACCCCCCCCCCCCAAACCAATGGATTCCCCCATCCACACAATAGAGGATGGAGGGATGCCCCCCCCCCCACCCCCCCCGCCCCCCGATGTATTGTGACAGCAGGGACTCTCAAGCCTGTTTTTTTTTTTTTTTTTTTTTTTAAACAAAAATTGACCTAACATTCAACTTCTGGAGAACAGTCAAGTCAAACAAGGATCACAATTTGGATGGCCCAGGCTGACTTTGGATCTATCTATGGCAGCCTAAATTGGCCCTGGTATGAGTATATATATATTTTTATGTAGGCATGTAAAGGGAGCAGACACTGTCAGAAGTTCACTCCATGGGTGGCGCTGTTGGCACCTCCCTCACAACATCTTTCAACTGGATGCGGCCCCCTTCAGAATACAAGACCCATCACTGCAGGTTCCTCTATAGTGTGCTAAAAGCCAGGGTTATGGGGGCAGCGGGAGGAGCTGGACGCAAGAGATGAATCCTAAAAACTTTGTTAAAACCCCCAAAAGCTGCCCCAATTTTGCCATCCCCATTGACTCCAATGGATTTCACCCAATATGTATAATTGGAAGATGAAAAATCTTAAAGTGTTACTAAACCCCCAACAGTACAATCAGTCTGTATATGTAGTAAAGCATGCTTGTTATACTCACTGTGGGACCTAAGGGGTTAATACTCTGCATTGTGTAAAAAGACTGTTTGATCCTGTCTTCTCTGCCCCTCCTCTTGTTCAAATGTCCACACTGATAAGACAGACTAAATCTGTAGCCCATCTGCACATGTTCAGTTTAGTCTGTATTGCTAGAGAAGTTTTTTTTTATTCTTGGGAGTGTGCATGTGATCAGCACAGGGCCAATCAGCACTGTCCAGAGAGAGGACACAGGGGTTCTGCATTCTCCTAGAGCAGAATGAAAACTCTTCCTGCAGGCTTTAACCAGTGCTTAGCTGGACACTGATAGAAGTCACAAGACTGCTAGATACTGCAAATAAGAAAAGGTCTTTAGCAGTTTATATTTACTAAAATAATAGCATTTCCATGTTGTGTGTACTGTGGGAGACCAGATATAGTGAATGCCGGGTCCGGGGAGACCGGATATAGTGACTGCAGGGTCCGGGAGAGACCAGATATAGTGAATGCAGGGTCCAGGGAGACCAGATATAGTGAATGCAGGGTCCGGGGAGACCAGATAGAGTGAATTCAGGGTCTGGGGAGACCCAATATAGTGAATGCAGAGTCCGGGGAGACCACATAGCGTGAATGCAGGGTCCGGGGAGATCAGATATAGTGAATGCAGGGTCCAGGGAGACCAGATATAATGAATGCAGGGTCCAGGGAGACCAGATATAGTGAATGCAGGGTCCGGGGAGACCAGGTATAGTGAATGCAGGGTCCGGGGAGACCATATATAGTGAATGCAGGGTCCGGGGAAAGCATATATAGTGAATGCAGGGTCTGGGAAGACCGGATATAGTGAATGCAGGGTCCGGGAGACCAGATATAGTGAATGCAGGGTCCGGGGATACCTGATATAGTGAATGCAGGGTCTGGGAAGACCGGATATAGTGAATGCAGGGTCCGGGGAGACCAGATATAGTGAATGCAGGGTCCGGGGTATAGTGAATGCAGGGTCCGGGGAGACCAGATATAGTGAATGCAATACCAGATATAGGAATGCAGGATCCGGGGAGACGGGTATAGTGAATGCAGGGTCCGGGGAGACCAGATATAGTGAATGCAGGGTCCGGGGAGACCGGATATAGTGAATGCAGGGTCCGGAAGACCGGGGAGACCAGATATAGTGAATGCAGGGTCCGGGGATACCAGATATAGTGAATGCAGGGTCCGGGAAGACCGGATATAGTGAATGCAGGGTCCGGGGATACCAGATATAGTGAATGCAGGGTCCGGGGATACCAGATATAGTGAATGCAGGGTCCGGGGATACCGGATATAGTGAATGCAGGGTCCGGGAGACCAGTGAATGCAGGGTAGGGGATACCAGAATAGGGAATGCAGGGTCCGGGGATACCGGATATAGTGAATGCAGGGTCCGGGAGACCGGATATAGTGAATGCAGGGTCCGGGGAGACCAGATATAGTGAATGCAGGGTCCGGGGATACCAGATATAGTGAATGCAGGGTCCCGGGAAGACCGGATATAGTGAATGCAGGGTCCAGGGATACCAGATATAGGGAATGCAGGGTCCGGGGATACCGGATATAGTGAATGCAGGGTCCGGGGAGACCGGATATAGTGAATGCACGGTTTAATAACACTTTAATTTCACTTGTAGAGCCCTGTGATCCGCGTTGTCTTGACCTTCACTGCTTGATGTTCCAGCACCTGGTGGGGTTTGGATCTTTCTCCTCATACACAGCCAGACTGTAAATAGAGGTTATCATGGACCTGCAGGGTTACCATGATTGGGCCCGGAGCTCTATGCATTGGTTCCCACCCAGCTGATGGAGGATGAAGTGAAATATAAATGAGAAGTGAAGCTGGGACACAAGTTTACATTGCTGCCTCAGGGAGGACGAACCGTGCAATTCGACTCTCTGCGCAGGCATTGAATATTCTCCAGGTTGATGTGTCCTTGGCTCTGTGTAGTGTGTGATTAATATTATGTGACACCCCACCCATCACCTCCAGTCTGTACATCACAACCGCTTCTCTCTCATTACACAAGGATCTGTCCTTAAAGTGTACTTGTCAGAATGCAAATAGGTAAGCTGCCATTGCTCACAAACTCACTAACTTTGGGTCGTCATCCTGATTCTGTCTTCACTATTTACTCATCTGAAACAAGTATGCAGTATCAAAGTTGAACTTTTTTTTTTATCACACTTCACTGGATACATGCTTGTTCTGCATTAGTGACTCACTGGGATTGA